AAGCAATGAATTTAATCTTGTACTTTTTCTGCGATGATCATCACAACATCGTGCAATATAACTGTATCACAGAAAATGTGCAGTCAGTATCACACTGTGACTTACAGTGTAGGGTAAGGTCAAACCTTTTCATGAAATTTACATTCCCGCCAACATAATTTCACTTTTCATAATTTTTAAAAGCTGTCCGTATATAGGGCGCTTTAGTTCCCCCGAAAAGGTACACCGTAGGTGATAAAAAATCGATCAAGGTGTGGGTAGGTGTGTCTCAGTCCGAAGATTTTATAATCCCCACCGATTTTCAATTTTATCAAAACTACAGATTTTACAGGCCTTTTTCTCAAAAAATCTCCGTATTTAGGGACAAAGACTGTACGTATCTCCTGGCATAGACAGCATTTCTTCCAATCAAAAGCGTATGATGCGTCCGCGGGGGAGGGTGGGTTTAAGAACTGGCGCGCTCGTTTGGACTCTGGCGACGCAATGGCCACTGCAGTAACATAATCAGTAATTAGATGTTCGCCCCTCATGTCGTTCACTGAGTTTACCGCCCGATTATCTACATACCTGAGGCTTGAAAACAGAAAATAAATAGAGCGCGCAGCACTGTGCGGCCCGCGCCGCCCGGTTATCCACCCCGAGCCCCGCTGCCTGTGATCACACGCACCCCGCCCCCACGACAATGGCACTTATTGCAGTGTAGGCACCCACTCCCCTCCCACAGAAAAATTTCCCTGCCTTTAAATGAGTTAAAAGCAACGAAAATAACGGAAAATGGGAATTTTGCGAGATTTGTCGTGCGGGTTGCCTATTGCCCCTTACGGGCGGCGCCTGCCGGGGAGCCGCGCGACGCCAGCTTCCAAACGCCGTAGCGGGAAAACTATTAGGAGTACAGACTTCGGATTTTTTGCATTCTCTTCCTTACAGAAAGAGCTACAACGAATATAAAAGAACTTTTTGTGTTATTTCGGACAAAAGTGGGCGAAAATTGACGCAGAACAAATTTGTACCTTTTCTTGAAATAGAAAGTTGATACTTAAAGTCAAATATCTCAAGAACTAAATGAGATATCAAAAATCCGAAAACGGCATCGTGATCAGCGCATCTGAATTGACCGGAAACGACACCTCGAGCACCCAAATCGGTCCGCGGAGTGCTGAGAAATATACTTTGAAGGGTTTAAGACAAATTTCTGAAATATTGGACTAAAATTGGCCATAGTAGGTGTCTGCACGGTCGGAGCGGATGCCTCATCGGGCCAAATCGTTCAGAATGGACCCTACAACAAACGTGCAAAGTATGAAAAGATAGTCATTTCGTGCAGTATTCTGGCGTTTTACCGTCCAAAGCCAACGGACTATCAGGGAGCCGACCCGACAGGCGCGGCGGGTGCCATCACGGCCATCCACCGACCACCTGACCGCCGCGCTCCAGTCCCGCCACGCCCCGCCACGCCCCGCCACGCCCCGCCACGCCCCAGGGCGTTATTAGTGCTAACGAGACGAGGCTGCAGGGCGGGGCGGACCCCGGGCGGGGCAAGCCTAGAGTGGAAGCCCGTCGGGACCTCCAAATTTCATTCAGAAAACAAGTCGAGCGGTCCGGGTCCCGGTCCAGTCCGGGGGGTCGGCGCGGCGGGTCACGCCGGCCCTGCTGACGGACCTCTGACGGGCAGAGGCAGCGGAGGAGGGAGGGGGGGG